TTTAATAAGATTTGTTTTTCATAACATTGATATTATTAATTTTTTTTTTATATACATTTGTATACATTTGTATGTCACAGTCGGTAAACGGAAAAAAAGCCCCTGGAAAAAAAACCATGGAAAAAAAAACCCCCGGAAAAAAAAAAACCCCGGAAAAAAAAACCCCTAGGAAAATAAACCTACAGGAAAAAATACCCCCTTACAATTTTTTTCGGAATTTTTTAACAATTTCTTTATATTTTTTTTAACTTTTTTAGAATTTTTTTACAATTTTTTTTACAATTTTTAGCATTTTTGGGCATTGATTTTTGCAATTTTTTTTTATTTTTGCCAATTTCGGGGATTTTTACTCAATGGGGCGGGGGGGGCCAATGGGGCGGGGTCGGTAGGGTTGTGTTGTTGAGTTTGGGTTGATTTGGGTTGGTTTCGCTCATTTTTGCGGTATTTTTACAATTTTTGCATTTTTTATGTGATACTCGTCAAACCGGGATTTATTTTTTGGCTTTTTTTTCCTTGGGTTTTTTTTCCTAGGGGTTTTTTTTCCTAGGGGTTTTTTTTCCGGGGGTTTTTTTTCCGGGGGTTTTTTTCCGTGGTTTTTTTTCCAGGGGTATTATTTCCTAGATTCGTCACAGTCAAAGTATACATTTCAGTAGATGTATATAAAACCTAGCTTGTCTTTACATTTACGTGAAAAATTAGTGTTGGTTGGTTTTGTGTGTTGGGTTGGTTTGGTTGATTTGTGGGTTGGGTTGGTTAGTTTTATTTTATGTACACTTTTGCTACTTTTGTAAAGTCAATGCAAACATGTAATAGTAAGTAAGTGAATGCCCTTCTAAATACATTTACATATCAAAATCAGTTATTGTATTATACAATTTGTATACATTAGCTACATTTTACATATTTTTAAAATATTAAAACTATTTTTTAACCCAACCCATTGTATTTGACATGTCATGTATTATTATTGATGACAATAAACTTATTATTATTATTATTAATAAATTCTAATTTAGAATTTAGAAGAGCAGCAAATACATGCTTTGTATAAGCTGAACTTCGCCCATTGATTGTATCTCTTAAGAGATATATATAATCAATAAAGGCATTTATTATTATTATTATTATTATTATTAATTTCTAAATGTACCTAATATAAGGTAAATTAAGAGTTTATACTATAATCATTAAAATATTATCTTAATCAATGTAGTCATTTAGTATAGTTACTATTAGCATTGATTAAGAACCGTATTAGTATGGTAAAGGGATTAAATATATAAATAGTGTTATTTAATCAATATACCAGAATTGAAATAAATAATTTAATTAACTAATATATATTTATCTATTCTATTTAAGACAAATAAATAAAAATATTGAAAATAAATATAAACTATGTTTTAACGTATGTTTTAACCATTAATGGTTTTTAAACAATGGTTTTTAAACAATAAATCTTGGTACGCGACCTTTCATAAACTGCTATAACTTTTCCTTGTAGGCCCTTGGTTTGTAATTTTTTGGGATACATTTTTGAATTGAATTTTATTATTTTACAAGATATTATTACATTATTATTTAATATTAATTTGAAAATATAAATAAAAAAATAATTTTACAAAATATACGATATTAAGTAACGTTTAGTTTAAACTATAAAATATGTAAGTTATTTTTTATGATTATTTTTTTAGGTGTTGATTTACTTTAAAAAACATAATCCTTTTTAAAAATAAGGATTTTAATTTAATTTTTTTCTTTCCATAGAAAAATTATACTATCTCTCTCTTAATGCGTAAACAATCGAGAGTATGAGTATGAGTATAAGAGACGTATAACCGGCCCCATAGCCTCATCGCTCCCGGGCCCGCATAGGCCTCTGTTTCCTTGCGCCGATTTTCTTTCGCCACCAGCAACGGCGCGGCTTCACCCGTATTTGCTGGTTGTGAATGTCCATTGCGTCCCGTACTGTCCCCTAATTAGGGCTCGAGAGCGAAATGCCAATAGTTTTAGTAGCCATTCCCGGGTTCGCCGAGCCGATGCTATACGTCCAGTAGGGTAATTAAGGAGGTAGGACGGGAGGGATAGACAGTTTGGTGTTTGGGGGACAATTACGCAGACTTAAATCTAAGAACGATGCGGTACCATGCAGTTAGTATTACTACAAACATTTGGGATTACTGTATGGAGTTCGGAAGTTGTTATTTTGCTGCAGGAGCCTACGTCTTGGTCTACGTTTTTGTCGTTATTGTTCGTGTCCAAGTAGGATTGTTCCTGCACATGTGTCTTCAGTCTTGAGGCCGAAAACCATCAATAGATAGTTCAGTAGCAGGATATGTAACTTGTAGCTTTTGATGTTTTTTTTAATTGTTTATTGCCGCAGTAGTGCGAAATTTCTAACAATTTTTTTAGTTATTGTGTTGCCCAAACACGTTTTGTGGTAGAGTTTTGTCTTTTTTTCTTAAATTCCAAAATTAAGTATTGCATTTATTTATTAGTTAAACAAATGACAAGCGCAATTATTCTTTTATAATCTAATGTGTTTACAAATCCAGTAGAGTTTGATTAGTATGCTGTTTTTAGTTTTATTGATTTATTGAGTGTTAGTTTATATCTGTGTGTCAAATATTTATTATTGGTCTCGTTTGGGTTTCATGCCTTACGCATTTGTTGTTGACAGATTTATTGTCCTACACAGCTTTGGTGTATCACCGCGATAGTTCGATTGGGAAGTTTTGTTTTTTTGTTGTTTGTCTTTGTTCTTTATTATTTTATGGTGTTTGGTTAGTATTGTCTTTCTAATGTTTCTATTGTTACTGATATTTAAGCAGTGGGCCTTTCTTAGGGTTTTAAAGATATCTGTCGTGTTTAATTTGCAAATTATGTGTTAGGTCATGCATATGCTTAAGGATAATTATCATTTTTTTAGGATAGCCACTTCCCCTCTTGTTTGACCTCTTTTGTTTGTCTAGTGAAAAGCGTCCAATGACAGGTGGTATACCTATAGAACCAGAAGCTGAAACTTGTCACTTAACTCTTTCTTATCACTTAACACTTCATTATTTATTGACCGTTACACTATTTTAGTTTGCACTTTATGAAAATTTTTGGTTTTAAACTTTAAACTTTTACGTTTTAAGAGCTCTCCCTGCTACAAAAGTCATGCATTTTCAACTGCTGGAACCTGACTTAATGCGTAAACAATCGAGAATCATAAATTTACGCATCCATTTTTTATTTATATTTTGGAAACAATATAATATTTGATTGATTTTTTTAAACAGAACTGTAATTTTATGGAAATAGGATTATACTCTTACGTAAAACAAAGTATTAATTTTGAAAAATGTATTAACTTTTATTGTTAGGGAAGTTATGAACATTTTTTTAATGCCAAGCGGCCCCTAACGCGTTAATGATAAACTTTCGGTGGCTTGTGTCATAAATCAATATGAATAATTATAATATAAATAATACATAATAATATTATTAATTTAGGCTTTTTATACCTATATACAACTGCAAATAATATAAATATAAAATAAAAAATATTAAATAATTTCTTGAAGTTAATAGAATAGGTATTATAATTTAAATTTAAATGTTACATTTTTTATCTACAGCTATGTAAACCGTAACAAACTTAAATGTAAAATAAAAGTAATTTCACATATTTTAATAAAAATATATTTGTGGTAAAAACAACAAAAATGAAATTTTTAAACATAACCACCAAGATATTTTGCCAGTTTAGATCGAACGTATAACAGAGCTATAAATATTCTAACGTTTTTACTGTTCGCAGTGTGAATTAAAACACGCACTGGTTTATTAACGAACTAAGCTATTTATTTTAAGAACCTAATTACACTTAAAACACTAAGGGCCGGTTTTTCAATCTCAGATAAACTTAAGATTACCTGCATCATTGACTTAAACTGTAGGTTATGTCAAAAAAGTGTTTTTCAATTAACGGTTAAAAGATTATCAGTTTATTGTCGGTTAAGTTAATCGCTACCAAAAGCAGAGGTAAACTCCAAATTAACCTTACAAATTATTAACCTAGTTTTTTACCTTTCAAAAATGAACTTGGATATGCTTAATTTAAATCTTATAAACGCATTCAGCGATGATGAAGAAGAAAATCCCCCAAGACGTCCAAAAATTATAAGAGTACGTCCAGACTTTTTTGAAGAATACGACGAAACTGATTTCTTTCAGAGATTTCGTTTATCAAAAGGTGTAGTTCAAAACATTGTGGCAGAAATTGAAGACACAATAAAGTATCCGACTGAAAGGTATGTACCCATATTTTAAATCAGTGTACATATTATAGGTATCATATTCTTTTTAAAAATGAATGTTTGAGCCCTACACATCAAGTTTTAATTGCACTAAGAGTTTATGCCACTGGAAGCTTTTTAAGTGTTGCTGGGGATTTGGGTGGTGTGTCAAAAACCACTGCATGTAAAACCATTCGAAGAGTCAACACTAGAGCTGAAGAGCTGTATAATGAATCCCAGATCAGGACCAGGAATGTGGTTGAAAGAAGCTATGGTGTATGGAAACGGCGTTTTCCTATTTTAGCTACTGGGATAAGGTTGAAACTTGACACAGCACAGGCCATTGTTGTAGCTACTGCAATTCTACACAATATAGCTTGTGACAACAATGAAAATGTTCCCTATGTAACCAATGAAGAAGAAGAAGCAATAAATAATATGAATAATATAAATGAAGACTTGCCACAGCCAGTAGTAAGAAATAGAGTAAATGAAATTACAAGACAATTATTAATAAACAATCATTTTGCTAGATTATAATGCAAGATCTTTAACGGTAAAATGTATTTATAATTATTTAATATAGGTTATAAATAAACACATTTTTTCTTTTAAATTTATTTTTAGAACAAGATTTAAAACAAAAATAACAATAATAATATATAATCTAAAAACAAAAACAGATTTTTAAAAATAATTATTTTTCATAAATATTTAATATTTTTGGAGTTTTTCTAGTTCCTTTTCTTTTATTTGTAGTTCTAGTTTCATTATTTCCATTTTAATTTCATGCTCTTTTGCAAACATTGCTTTTTGTGCTTTTAGGAAACAAATTTTTTCATCCACCAGTTTTTTTTCGGCTGGGATGTAAGTCTTTTTCTCTAGTCTTGTCTTTCTCAGCTCCTTTGACTTGTACACCTTCAAATTTGTGGGGGTATAAGATACCCAGTCATGGGTAGAAGTGCTTGGTTCATCTATAATTTGATTCAAATTGGCTTCCATTTCAGGATCAGGCATATCCTCCTTCATGTTATCCTCAGCAATTATAGTTATAGAAGTCTGTTCTGCATCATTGTCATAACTATTAGTTAATCCAGTAATTTCTGGTCCCACAATTTCCATAATACCTAGCTCAGCAGTGGAAAATTCAATGGGAATATATGGGCCTCCTCCAGTTAATGTTATCCCCTTTTTATTGGCAGAAAACTTTTCTTTGCTCTTCTTTTTTAAATTTAAATATTTTGTTTTTAATATGTCAGCTTCCCTTTGTGTTCCCGTGGACAAATTAAATTCTTTGGCTAATTTTTCCCATGTTTCTTTTTTTTGACCCAGGAAACTACTCCACTTTATTTGTTTTCAAGAATATGTTTATATTTATTAACCAAGTTAATTAAAGTTACTTTTTCAGTTTCATTAAAGTTTTTTGTTCGTTTCCTTTTGTCCGTCTGTAAATGAATTAATTAGTAAATCATTAAATCTTATTCATAAAAATGCACAACTTACTTTACACTCTGATTCCATTTTTAAATACCACTTATATTATAGTCTGATCACTTTAACTTATAAGAAATATACAACACAACAAATCTGCAACTACACCGCCAAACGTCAAGTTAGGTTATAATAAACAAATTAAATAAACAATTTTCAGGTTATAATAAACAAATTTACGTTTATTTACTGCCAACCTTACAAAATATATAGCTAACCAATGATTAGTTTACTACCGTTAAAATATATATTGAAAAACGCTCGTTGATTTAACTTACAGTTAACTACAAGGTAAAGGTTTGTTAATTTGAAGTTTAACTTTACATTGAAACTATAAAACTAACTAAACACTTAACTACTAATTATTTTTATATCACTACTGTACAAGAGTCTATTTATTTGCACATATATTTATTTATTTTGTCGCGAGTACCAAAGCTTGACTGACTGCTCCATGCTGCGCTGTTCCTTATATATTCAGTGCCTACATGGCATATCGGCGATGAGTCATCATTTCGAGATCCAGAGCGGTACTCGCTACAATATCTTGCAATTTTTATCCGATTTTTTAAGTTTAACAATCATTTTTAAACTTTTTGTTTCAAGATAGTAAATAAAATGAGCACATTTTCAAATTGAATATGTATTATTGCGTTTGTGACGATTTCTGGGGCACCTGCTTTCATAAAAATAATTTTTAAATTATAAAAGTTTTATGAGAATTGGCAGTCTATATTAATTGTATTCCCGGTTGTTAATTAGTAATAACATACATTCCTCCCCTGTAGATACATATTCTCATCCCTTTTACAGTGCTCTTAATTTATACCTTTAACAAGTAATAATAACTAAATCTGCATTACTTATAATTATAATATAATATATATTATTTATACTATTATTATTAATTTATAACACAAGCCACTGAAAGTTTATTATTTAAATACCTATGTATATTACTTAGCGCCCGAACGCGAGCGTTTAATATTGATGGTTATTAAATTGAACAGCGATATGTGTCTCTTGCAGTATATGTACCACAAAAATTATAACCGCCCCTTCACGCACGACCGGGCTTATACAGGGATGGTTATGGGCTCTTAGGCCGTTTAATAAACAAAGATGCATGCTATATGAAACGTACGAATAAGTGAGATAAACGTATAAATAGAGATGCGACTTGAAAAAAAAACGGTCCGTTTTTTTTGTTTTTTTTTCAGGTTTTTTTTCATTGTTTTTTTTTCAAGTGGTTTTTTTCACATTTTAGGTTTTTTTTTAAGATTAGTCCCATTTGCCTAATTTTTTAGGTTTTATGGACTTAAATTAGCCACTTTATGACAATTAGTAAATGTAAATACAGTCTCGCGCTATGCACGCGCCACCACCACCGAATTGACCAATAAGGGCCGCGCTTGTTTTGATTTGGTCCTAAAAAAGTAACTACATATAATATTTTTGATTCAGCGCTTGATTTTTTAAAAAGCTACCAAAAGCACTTTTTTCATGATTTTTCAAATTCATGTACAGTATGGAATTTTTTTTCCAAAAAACAATAGCAAATTCTTGTAGAACATTTATTCATTGGTGGTAAAGTCAGAACATTCCGTGGACCAGAAAGCCAACAATTTTTTTTTATTACGGTATGTGTTAGGATTAAGCGTTGCACATTTTTCATCTAAAAATCTCAAAACTAGAAACTTCAGGCTTCAAATTGCTTTTTTTATGGCTCCAATACTACCATTTTTAACAAAGACAGCTAACGAAGAATCGCAAAACAATTTTTTATCCTTTAATTTTTTGTATTGGTGTAGAAGTTTTACATTGCTACTGGTTTCTAATGTGGAAACTACCAAATAATAAGAAATCAGATTTTTTAGTCTCGGTCAAAATTTTCAATAATGAAAAATTTAATATATTCTACATTTCACTTTATTATTAATATATATTTTACTCAAAATTTCATTTTGAAAAAAAACAAAAAAAACCGTTTTTTTCTAGGTTTTTTTTCATGTTTTTTTTCACATCTGAAAAAAAAACCGTTATTTTACATCTCTACGTATAAATAAGAGAGACAAACAACCATTGTTGAACGAATAGGATAACAAAATACTTATTTCCCCTCTGCCATAAGCGTGCAGTACAAGATTTTAAAACGATCTAACTGCTTTACAATCCCACCAAGATACATACACCTTAAGATAGGATTGTGCGCATGTTGGGCGGGGCTTAAATATGTCACTTTATAAGTGTTTTTAAATCTTTAACGTGCTTTTTAATTATCTGCTGCCTAAAGCCGGGTCTACAATTGTCGCAGGTCGCAGTACATAAGCTTGCGCAAAGCACCTAGCTGACAAAAGAATGTTGCTCCATCGCCACGTCTCGGGGTGCTTTGCGCAAGCTTATGTTCTGCGATCGGACCCCTGCGACAATTGTAGACCCGGCTTAAATTCTTGTTTTTGCGATGCTTGTAAATGTTAAGTTGCTCTATTTTTTGTTTAACTTGTTATTTTTGCTTTCGGTAAGGTTCGAATTACTGTTCAGTGTTTAAATTATTGTTATTGCGTTGTGTTAACCTGTTCTGTTTGTTTATTATTGTTTTTGTGTTGCGTTAACTTGTTTTGTTTGTGTTTTAGTTTGTGTGGTACCATTTGCATTTATTAAAATGCGATGTGGCATATTTCGATGCAACCAGTCCAAGAAAAACCCTTTAAATAAAAACATTAAATTTAAACGATTCCCGAAAAACTTTAATTTGTGGAAACAGTGGTTAAATGTCACAAAAAGAATAGGCAATATTAACGTTAAGACCGCTTCTGTTTCCTATAAACATTTTCTGGACAGTGGCTATAAGTTTAATTTAAAACACCAAGGCTTAAACTACAGCCCTAAATGTTATCAATGACTAAAAGCATCTATTATCCATATTATAACACTTTCTTCAATATTAAGTTTAATAAAAACGCACTATGTCCAGATATTTCTCTATTTTATTTGATAATATTACTATTATTCGTGTATTCGCACGGCAACTACTCATCAAGTGACGTCATGCGCGGCATGAACCAAAACTCGGGAGCATCCAGCCCCACATACTTCCACACCTATACCGCTTATTGCCTATATTTTGTATAGATGACCTTGTTCCCGTTTCTAAGGGGAAATTTGTTCTCGAAGTGTGCCATTTTCCTTTATGCGCATAGTCAGTGTGGGGGATTTAAAATATATAATACCATAGACATCACATAACATTAGATAGAGAAATTAATACGTCCATTTATGATACGAATTGTCAACTAAACAAAATTTAGATTATATAAAATTTTTCTAAATTATTTGGTTCCATAGCCTGGGTTAAGCTTACAAACATTTTTGTGATTTGGCTTTATAAAAAGCAAAAAGTGGCATAATATGCATATTATGTAAAATCCACTAAAATCTCGTTAAAACAATGGAAAAAAACAATGCCAAAACAATTGGTATACAACAGAAAACAAACAAAATTGATAATTATAATAACCATCTACATTTTTATATGTCTAACATAAAAATCTTTTGGCTATGATATCTACGATAATCGTGATCCAAATACGATGTTGCCAAATTTTTGCTTTTATAAAAATGCCATTATAAAATCTAAAATATCATCATTTTTTGAGTTTATTATTGTTAAATGCTTTTTTCATACAATTTATATCCAATTTATTAAAAAGTATTTATTATACCTACTTCTTAAATAGGGACAAAAATATGTTATTTTTTTTAAACCGGCAATGCAGCTGACGCATGCGCCTCAATGCCCGCTACCCTGTGAGAACATTTCCCCTACTTTACCCCCACGAAATGGAAACAGTCTCATTTAGAAATGATTTGTTTATGTGTCCAGCCCTGGCGCGGCGCGGTCTGGCCTGTCCTATCACTATTACGTCAGTCCACCACTCCCACGTCTCATAATGCATTTGTCTTTATTTATTAAACGGCCTAAGAGCACATTACCATCCCTGTATATATATATATGTTAGGGTGGCCCAAAAAAAAAAGAATATTTTTTTTACTCCTCTCTTATAAAAATATGTTAGTTTATCATGCTGTAAGAGCCCTGTCAAAATATCAGCTCGATTAAAAAAATTTTAGGGGTCGCTCAAGATTTTTTAAAATTTTCAAAATCATCAAAAATTGAATTTTTGTTTTATTTTAATTTTTTTTCTCGTCTCAATATTATTTTTTTGGATGAAAATAATAAAAATTCTGTAAATTTCAAATCAATATTTTGATTTCTAAAGGTCGCTAAAAGTTCGTTGATATTTATATTCAGAGGTCGCTCAAAAACATTCAAAATACTCTACTTTTAAAGTTAAAAAAATCTTGAGCGACCTTTAGAAATCAAAATATTGATTTGAAATTTTCAGAATCATTATTATTTTTAAATTAAAAAATAATATCGGAACGAGAAAAAAAATTAAAATAAAAAAAAATCCAATTTTTGACGATTTTGAAAATTTTTAAAAATCTTGAGCGACCCCTAAAAATTTTTAATAGAGCTGATCTTTTGACAGGGCTCTTAAAACATTACAAACCAACATATTTTCACAAGAGACGAGAGAAAAAAATATTCTTTTTTTTTGGGCCACCCTAATATATATATGTGTGTGAGTGTGTATGTGTATGTGTATAATATGATATACATTGTATTAGCATACATTTTGGAGTAACGAAAAATTATTTGTATTTATTTAATTGTAGTAGTTTGTCCATTTTGAATAAGGTAGATTTATTTTGAAGGTGTATGTAATGAATATTTCCTTATTATTTGTAAATATTTATTTGCGACTAGTTTCGGTCTTTAGACCATCTTCAAGCAAACTACAACAAAGCATAAAATATTGTTAAAATATAAATAGGTAAATATAAGGTTTAATTTTTGTGAGGTTATGTCTAATATTTGGGAAAAGTGATTTTAAATAATATTAAATAACAAATATATTGGATATAAAACTTACAACGTCAAAATAAACAAACAATTAGGGCTAAAT